TAGATGCTTCTCAAGCAAGTCCCGGGACGTCATTCTCCCCCTGTACTCGGCCTTAGTGAGGCCGCAGCTGGAGTACTGTGTCCAGTTTTGGGCTCCACAATTCAAAAAGGATGTGGAGAAGCTTGAGAGAGTCCAGAGAAGAGCCACGCGCATGATCAGAGGTCAGGGAAGCAGACCCTACGATAACAGGCTGAGAGCCCTGGGGCTCTTTAGCCTGAAAAAGCACAGGCTCAGGGGTGATCTGACGGCCACCTACAAGTTTATCAGGGGTGACCACCAGCATCTGGGGGAACGTTTGTTCACCAGAGCGCCCCAAGGGGTGACGAGGTCGAATGGTCACAAACTACTTCAAGATCGTTTCAGGCTGGACATAAGGAAGAACTTCTTTACTGTCCGAGCCCCCAAGGTCTGGAACAGCCTGCCACCGGAGGTGGTTCAAGCGCCTTCATTGAACACCTTCAAGATGAAACTGGATGCTTATCTTGCTGGGATCCTATGACCCCAGCTGACTTCCTGCCCTTTGGGCGGGGGGCTGGACTCGATGATCTTCCGAGGTCCCTTCCAGCCCTAATGTCTGTGAAATCTCTGAAATCTATGAGTCACCCTGCAGAGCCTTGCTGCTGTAATTCTGGACTGCAGATCCCAGAGACCTCAGGGGGCAGCAGGAAGAGGAAGTGAACACATAGCCAGAGGGTCATACTCTAGCACCCCCTGACTTCTTTCCTGGGCCACTGCAGGCATGTGGTTGCATTTCCTGAATCAAAGGTAAAAGTCTGTTCACTTCTGTTTCGATTTAATCTGTATAGTTTAGACTAATCTGCAAAGACTGAATCAATTCAGCATTGTACTTTTTGACTGTCTGTACTTAGCCAAAGAATTTCACAAACATTAACAAACTATACAGCTCTTGTTGTGACAGGCTTTGCACACTATAATCAGATTTTACACTTAGGAAAACTAAGAGTACTGAGACAGAACAAATTAAAAAAAAATCTCCTCTGAGGTCATGCAGAAAGCCATTGTTAGAACCAGGATAAAGATGCAGGTCTCCAGAGAGTCAATCACATGTTCCAACTACCCAACCTTGCTGCCTCTGGAAACTAATCCTATTTGCCCCTTTGAGGTTTCATACTACTTTCTTTCATTGCTAAATGCAAAATAAAATACTTGACAGACTTCACCATGCAACAGAGATATTTGCAATTTGATAACTTCAAAACATTTTTTGACAGCTTATTGATCTGGTACCAGGAAACAACATTGTGGATTGAAATTTGAACATATTGATGGAACTATGATACAATTAAGTTTGGCTTTAACCAGTAGTTCAAAACAAGTAATTCTTAGCAAACTTAATGATACCTGTCACCATTTATTAAGCTTGGCAGTGCCTACGCATCTTCAGGAAGGGGAATTCAGGCTACTATTAAATGACTATAAAGAGCAACAGTGTTTTGTTTTGTTTTTTTACTTGGAGTAGTGATACAGAAAAGGTCTTGTATGTATGCACGTAACAAAAAAAGCTAACACAGCACACAGTGTAAGTCTATAGTAAACATTTTAATGAACACATTTTAAAAC